ACACACACACAACTTTTACCTACTCCTTTTGAGCAGAAAATTTGCCTGTAATATGCTTGTGTGTTGCTCCAATAAATAAATACACACACACATACACATGCACACATGTACACACATCCACACACGCACACTCACACACACACACACTTTGACTCATTGCACTTATTAATAACTTCTTAATCATCTCTAGGAACAATAGCACATTATTCTCAAAAGTATTTGTCGTTCAGGTTTAGCTCAACAGTTTACAGCTCGATGGACCAGTCTGTAGAAGGAGTGGCTTTCATTCAGTAGAAGATGATTTTAGCTAGTTTTGAACATTCTGATCATCTGACATAAGGAGGAAACTACTAGAACTCCCAGAAACGTCATTTTGACTGCTTCTATTCAAATCAATCAGTTTACCATCATTTTTTCTCAAATGTCCCTGTACTCACACTTATAAAGTCCTAAAACTGGTGATTATAACTTGAAATACAGAAGAAACATTGCGTTGTTATGGTTTCTAGTGCTTGCTCTTTACTTTTACACCCCATTTAAAAATCGACAGTAAATCTCTACCTTTTTGTTATATCCCTAAAAGTGTATGTATCTAAATATAATATATTTCAGAGAATGCTTGGACTCGGCTGGCCCTCTCGCTGCTGTTTCTCTGATTGGTCAGACTTTATCTGTATGCTGATTATTGTTGTGCCTTACTCTATTCTTTACCTGTCTTTCTGACTGCTGCACCGAGCCAAAGCAATTTCCATGTCTGTGACATGTCTGATTCTGATCTGTGTGTGAGTAGGTTTCCTCCGGGTGCTCCGGTTTCCCCTCCTACCAAAAACATGTTCAATAGGTCTGAATGTAATTGAGTGAGTGAATTGATGGTCAGTACCATGTGTGGAGTGAATGGAAAAACATCTGTACTCCAGGAAACTTTGTAAAGCACTGTTGTCTGGACCAAAAGTGCAGAGGAAAATGTGCGCTTTGACTCAGACAATTGCGCTGATCCTTCAGATTCAACTGCTTCTCTGGCCCTCCCAGCTCCATAGGAACCACAGGGCCAATCAGCAGCCAAAGTCAACTTCTGCAGCATGATGTATATTATTAACTGGACAGGACACTGTGTTCCAATGACAGCACATCTGTAGCTCTCACAGAGATGGGGAAAGATCATGCTTATGATGGTTCTTGGTTTCATTCTGGAATAATAGCCATGCTTTAGAATATGTTTGTGTACATTATTTTTTTATACACTTATAGACACCTTCCCCTACATATGCTTTTAATGTTATATTTCTTTAAATTTAACATTGCTAAACATAGACAACTCTTGCCCTCTTTTTCAAAACATTTGGCCACCATCTTGGACTCCCCTTTAAGATTTTATTTCAGGTTTATGTAAAAACAAAAGATAATTTCACAAAAAATAATGGCACAGTAATAAACTACATTTAGAAACAGAAATGGTCACAAGTTAAAAAGACCACAAATGCACATGGTGTGAATGGTTGGTTGTGGCACATACTGGTTGCCTCGCTTCTGTCAGTGCGCCTCAGGGCAGCTGTTGCCACAATAGTGGTTTATCAACCACTTTTTATGGAAAGAATGAATGTGAAGCATCTTTGAGTGTCCAGAAAAGCGCTATATGAAACTGATACATTATTATTGTTATTATTCATTCATTGATTACACTTACACAGAATTCCATTGGTTTAAATGGGAGCAATGACAGCTCTGGGAGTTCTAGTTGTTTCATAATTGTGGTCAAACAGTCCAGTCTGTGCTCTAGAATGCATTTGCGGATCCTGTGGAGCAGCTGTGGGTGCGACGCCTTGCCCAAGGACACAGTGGCAGCAGAACAAGCGGCTCGTCACACAGGGTTTCAAAGCGGAACAGCCATTTGAAGTTTCGGGTTACGCCCCTCCTCTGGCCTGGAGGCTCAAACTCAGACTGTCATCTAATCTCTGGGAAAAAAGAAACACTTACACACTCGCATGCGAAACCTTCCTCTGCAGAATATCACAGCTTTTTCCCAGGGCAGTAACTTAAAGTGCAGACTGTAAACCGAACATATTTTTTACTCTTAAATCTGCTCTATTTAACTTTTCTATGGGAACAGTTGATATGTAAAACAAAAAGACAGTAGAAGCTTGACAATTTTCATCTTGTATCATTTCATTTATTCTGTTCCTTCAGTTCACAGATGATCAGAACACACATGGACTGGATTCACGTTTCTGCATGTTCTTTTTCACCGCCAAATAATGCACAACAGATCAATACACATCTAATTACCGATAGTCTTTTTGGTCAATTTGAAAATCAGAGTAACCTGCCTGCACGCAAAGACGTTTTTAGGCCACGGCTGTTAGATTCAATGTAATCAAACAAAGAAAGCAAATGTTGGAAATATTGTCTAAGGGGTGTCAAACCGGTCCACAAAAGAGTCCAGTGTGTTCCGGCGTGACACCCCTGAATCAAATCCTTTGTAAACAAAAAAACATGATCCTTTCTTACAGTATACTCTTTTCTCGATCATTATTCGATGGATTCACATTTTAAATTGACCAAAATCATGAGTCCTAACAGTTCTGTGAGGCTGTTAAATGCAACGCAAGGCAAGCATGGTCAACTATGCTAAATTTAACAATTATTAAAACTATAAAAAACAGATAAGTGTGGTTTGTTATAGTTATAAAGGACATACTCTTTATTAAAAACATTTTTTTGCTTTAGCCTGAACCAGGAAGTGACTCGTTTAATCACTTAGCAGCCTCACAGCACTGTTGTCCATCTTCACATTGTGAGCGGCTACATTTTCCTTCATTATTGACTGAAACACTTAACAAATATAAAATCCATCCTTCATTTCAAGCAAGTTAGCAATTACAGTAGCACGGTTAGCTCCTTTGCAAACCTATTCAGCCACCTATTCTTTCCTTCCAAAAACATATACCATATACCTCATTCACTTTGCATTGGAAGCTTATATTACTTCAACAAGTTACAATTGGGATCAGCTTCAGTGATTTGGTAAGGAGATTTAGCGGTGGTAAGCTAAATTAATCTAAAATCAGATGTGGGTTTGAGGGGGAAAGAATATGACACTCTTCAGCCCAAGCAAGCATGTAGCAATAGAATATTAAAAAAACACCTTCATAAATACCCTTGCGATCCCTAACATTCATATTAACAAGACAAATCTATAAAATCTATAAACGGGAAATTGTGGAAATGGCTGCAGGCGAGGCTTACCGGTGCACAGTTCCTGGTGGAGTGATAAACTTTAAGTCTATTCAAAGGCAACGCTGTATCATGGATTTTTCATTTGATTGAAACCACTATAAGCCGAGGCCAGTGTTTCTCAAAGTTGGGGCTGAGATTGTGTGTGCTTAGATCACCTGTAAATAGCGGTAAATTTAAGTTTATCGATGCATGCCTTTAACGTAATTGAACCTTGAGCCAAAGCAAAGTCCTATTTTGTGACTTCCTGTTACTTACAAGGACATTAAAAATCTTATTGATTCTGATATTTTGGGGGTCTCTATCTGAAAAGCTTTAGGAATCCCTAGTCCATAACGAGTCATTTTGTTATTTAATTTTAAAAAGTTTATATTACAAAGATGAACTTCTTCACCAGAACCGAGGGCCGATGGAGAGTTTTGGTTGGCTGGAACCGCTGGCCTCTGCAATTTAGAAAACTTGGATAGTGCCTTATTGCCTAAGCTTTTTCTATTGGTTAGATTCTAACCAATAGAGCATAGTCCTTGCACACATTGTTCTAACCGTTAGAACAATGTGTGCAAGGACTATGCTCTGTATAATAATATTGTTTAGAATGTGTTAAAAAAGAAATTTCATATAAATACATAGGTCAAAGTTTGATAAAACAACATTCTCTTCACTCATGATGACGTAGCCACTCAGGTGTCGCCAAAAGTTGAGTTACGTCCATGAACTTGCATGCATACATTTCTTCATTTTTGTAGCAGAATTTCTTCATCACGATGTAAACTGTTTTTAGTGTGCGATCACAAGAATGTAATCAGCATTTCTTTGACCCGCGGGCGTCGATGTATCTCAAAGACCTTCCTCCATGTTGCTTACAGTCTCTCGTGTTTGGTCCCATCAAAGTCTTTCAAAGGTTTTTCATTCGGCAACAACATTTGCATATCATCAACATTGGTTATCACAACTAAGACACTAATTGATTTTTTAAAAAGTATATAATTGCACTTTTGACTCGATCTAACCTTGCTTAAATAGTTAAGCACAATATTGACCACACAAAAGGTTGCGCTCGTGTTCATCATTATTTGGTGGTGGTAGATTCACAAAACAGCCATAGGTTTTCTCTACAGGCCAACATTATACATTATACACGTTTGTGAATATTGACACCACTTCTAAACAACTTCATGAGAAAATATTAAGTAGTTGATATGTGCTGACAAAGAAGATGTGTGACTTTGTGGAACAGTTTTTGTTTCATTTGGATTATCTAAGAAAAAACTCTAATCCATCAACTGATTTTTCTCAGGACCACATAAAGGAGTAGCTCTCTGCAATGTTTGTCCCGAAAAAGTAGTTCTGAGTGGTGAAAAGGTTGGAGACCCCTGCTCTAAACTTACAATAGTTACCAAGAACGATTGCTCAGTTGCCCTCCACAATGTTAAACTATAGGTTATTTGGAATGTTGTGATGTCACATGAACGTAACCTCTGGTCCAATACACTATACATCTGTTCCTCTCAGAACTAATGCTTCTCAAAATGTGCAACTCACCAGCGTTCAGCCCCTTATCTCTCCCAAAGCCAAAGAATCTCTGTGATCATCTCGTCCCATCCCTAGCAATAAATCTACTTCTAAATACAGTTCAACATCAGCCCAGTCCCATGTTCAAGATTCAAAAGGAGACATTTTGCTAGTTTGGTCCCTACACCGCAAGCGCACTTCATCAGTCCGTACTCCTTCATGTATAACATTGTAAAGCAGTGTGGTTGGGGGCCGCATCACCGCACCTCTTCCTTGGCCCCTGAGTCCTTGTCCTGGATGGGCAGGCTCTGGCGGACCGTCCCCTTGACCTTGAAGCGTCCAGACCGGCTCACTTTCATGTTCCTGCGGCAGGTCCTCTCGTTGAAAACGGACTCCATGTGTGAGTCGTCGTAGCGGTCATCAGAGTCCACGCTGGGGGTCACGGCGGGCTCAGCCTTGGAAGGCTCGCGGGTCTTTTCCGGACGCGGGGCCCAAGGATCGAAGTCTGGGCCGATGGGTTGGGCGCTCTTCTTCTTGGGCAGGAAGGCCTTCCACCACGGCGTGCGCTCCGTCATGTTCCCTGCACATAACACAGGCATAAACAGGTGGGAAGGATAACACATTGGTGTTTAATCTGCCTTTAATCTGTCTATTCATGGTAACAAGTGTCAATTATATCTAAGAGATAGAAATATTTTATGTTTATGTAAGTACTGACTGTAAATTTGATTCAGAATAGGAAACAAAAGTTTTACTTCTGTCAACTCGAATTGTATAAAAAAATATATATATATTGTATTGAACAATCAATCATTTGAAATAAAGACTACTACTGCTAACGAGTCTTGTTTGGATGAATTAGCTTCTGTCCTGAATGACCCCCTTCATGGAGGCCACCTCTGTGTCGCGGCTGACCCTCTGACCAACCCAGTGTGATCAGGGCTGGTATATTTGACTCTTTGGGGCCTCGTTACACAGTCTTCCTCTCTCTCTACATCATGTCAGTAAGATGTTCTGGTTATGTGCAAAGAAAATTAAACTTGAAAACTAAGTGTTGCGATGAGAAGCATTGATTCACGAGCGCACACGGCCTGTAGAATCTGTCTCTGTTGTTTAGTTGACGTTGACGGCACAGGCCAGTTTCTGTCATGCTGTTGTTCTTATTGGTTCTTTTTATAGATAAAAATCTGCTTCTCTTCACTGCGCTTCTCCTGTGGCTACTTGTAAAAGCCTCGGAGGTGCCCAGAGTTAGAACTAAACATGGGGAGGCAGCGTTTCAGGTTTGAGCTGCTAATGTCTGTAACAGTCTTTCTGTGAATATGAGACAGGCTTCTTCTCTCACAACGAGTTCTGTTTAACTGCGCATACAACTGAGGGATTTAATATTTATTCTTTTAAATGTTCTGTGATTATTTATGATTTAAATGCCTTGTTTCTATCTTGTTTTGAATTGCCTCAGAGCAAGACTGACCCAAGTCACACTGCGGAACAGGATTTATAATCTGTGACAAGTGTCTCTCTGCTGCAAGAGGTCTGATCTTAGCTTTTCTGTATCAAGTTACACATGTAAATCCATTTATACAAAAAAAATAAATAAAATAAAAAATAAATAATAATACATCAAACTTGTATAGCGTTTTTTTGGACACTCAAAGACTCTTCACATGGGGAATAAAATACAATATAAATAAAAAAGGGGGTTTACAGAAAAGATGAAGTTGTATGATGTATTCAGATATTCTCTATTTCACATTAATGACACAGTGACCTTTCAGACGAAAGCAGCAGCAGCGACGGCGTCTGTGTGACCGGTTCTCAGGGGTTGGGCTCTGACGCTGCTGTGACGCTGCTGCCCAGGAATATTTCACCTCAAAGAAACTACACATATACACACACATGCACACTCCTACACACGTACATATACACACACATGCACACTGCCACACACGTACATATACACACACATGCACACTGCCACAAATGTACATATACACACACATGCACACTCCCACACACGTACATATACACACACATGCACACTCCCACACACGTACATATACACACATGCACACTCCCACACGTACATATACACACTCCCACACGTACATATACACACACATGCACACTCCTACACACGTACATATACACACACATGCACACTCCTACACACGTACATATACACACACATGCACACTGCCACACACGTACATATACACACACATGCACACTGCCACAAATGTACATATACACACACATGCACACTCCCACACACGTACATATACACACACATGCACACTCCCACACACGTACATATACACACATGCACACTCCCACACGTACATATACACACACATGCACACTGCCACACACGTACATATACACACACATGCACACTGCCACACACGTACTTATACACACACATGCACACTGCCACACGTACATATACACACACATGCACACTGCCACACACGTACATATACATACACATGCACACTGCCACACACGTACATATACACACACATGCACACTGCCACACACGTACTTATACACACACATGCACACTGCCACACACGTACTTATACACACACATGCACACTGCCACACGTACATATACACACACATGCACACTGCCACACACGTACATATACATACACATGCACACTCCCACACACGTACATACACACACATGCACACTCCCACACACGTACATATACACACATGCACACTCCCACACACGTACATATACACACATGCACACTCCCACACGTACATATACACACACATGCACACTCCCACACACGTACATATACACACACATGCACACTGCCACACATGTACATATACACACACATGCACACTGCCACACACGTACATATACACACACATGCACACTGCCACACATGTACATATACACACACATGCACACTGCCACACACGTACTTATACACACACATGCACACTGCCACACGTACATATACACACACATGCACACTGCCACACACGTACATATACATACACATGCACACTCACACACACGTACATACACACACATGCACACTCCCACACACGTACATATACACACATGCACACTCCCACACGTACATATACACACACATGCACACTCCCACACACGTACATATACACACATGCACACTCCCACACACGTACATATACACACATGCACACTCCCACACGTACATATACACACACATGCACACTCCCACACACGTACATACACACACATGCACACTCCCACACACGTACATACACACACATGCACACTCCCACACACGTACATATACACACATGCACACTCCCACACGTACATATACACACACATGCACACTCCCACACACGTACATATACACACATGCACACACAAGTTTAGATAATTGCTCTATTTACCGCTCTAATATCGCCAATACAATCACTTTTCTAATCTACTATGACAAATCATGACTTCTAATTACAGTCCGTCTAAAGTTTTAGAAACCAGAATATTATGGATGTGCTAAAAAAGATTTGTATGTAAATATATTTAGATAAACCCACTGCAAAGTTAAGTCTTTTAACAATCAATCTTCAACAAACGGAAGATGAAGATCAGCGCACCAATGTTGTATTTTGTGAGAGGCCAAAACTTGTTTGTACGTATGTGTGTGTATGTACGTATGTGTGTGTATGTAGGTATGTGTGTGTATGTAGGTATGTGTGTGTATGTACGAATGTGTGTGTGTGTGTGTGTACGTATGTGTGTGTGTACAGTATGTACGTATGTGTGTGTATGTACGTATGTGTGTGTATGTACGTATGTATTTGTCTGTACGTATGTGTGGGTATGTACGTATGTATTTGTCTGTTCGTATGTGTGTGTGTGTCTGTGAACCAGTGCATGTATTTTATTTTTGGGATATTTGTGATTTTGTTTGTGCAGGTTTTGAATGAATACATTTCATTCAATTCTAATTAAAGTTTGACTTTGATTTCAATCAAAAATGGAATGATCTAATAATTATTGACATAAAGTTGGAGAGAAAACAAATGATGACACGGTTAAAATCCTCAAACACAAGGATTTTGCTTCAGATGTGTCTTAATGAGTCAGCCTAAGATTGGAACATGTGAGGATTATTAAAACAACTATTATTACAACACAATATACGTCATGTTTATTTTTACGTCTATTAAGAAGTGAATCATCAGACTGCATTCCTATTGGACAAAGAGTGCACCCATGTCTCAGGTTAAAGTTAATCCGAGCATTTATGTCGTTTTGCAGTCTTCCTGCTGACGCTGTAATTTTTAGGTTAATGCTACTGTCACAATTTTGAAATATTTACGGAACATTTGTGAAAGAGCTGTAATTAGAGCTGTATTTGGGTCGGTAAGAGCAAGTCTGGGCTCATATTTCACAGCTCAGGAATGATTACAAACAGCTGATGACACGCAGACAGGATTACCCCAATATGTCTGTTTCTGTGTAATGTTTATCTGTTGCTTCTGATGTCAAACAGCAGAAGTGCTATTTTTGCTGAATTTGAACGTTACCCAAGGATTGTACAATAAAATACATTATAATACATGATTTGAGTTAATATTTCCCATATTTTAGTCCACACACATTCAACCAACTCGATGTCAACCCTAACCCAACCAATCCACATTATTTAGCTATGTAGTTATTTTCTGTTACTTACTTACTGCAGCCCCACAGTCGCACGCACAATCTCACAATCATTCAAACTACATTGACCATAGAACAATAATCAAAATAATAAAACAAGCTTTTTATATTTTTGGTCCAGTTTTGTTTCAGTGCAAGAACTCCTTTTGTTCAGACTCAAACTAAACTCTTCTGTATCTTGTTTTTAAATCTGACATGTATTTTTATCTGTATGTTTTTATTGTGAAGTGCTTTGAGATCCTGGTCTGTGAAAGGCGCAACACAAATAAACTTTACTTACTTATCAGCAAAGTTTCCCTAAATAAATGAAGACCTTGGTGCAACCTTAAAGCCCAAAAACAGTTCTGGACCACAAAGAGTTAGACCCACCTCTCATCAAACATACTTTGTGAACTCAGTCACAGCAGGGGGTCCTTGTGCTCTGTCTACACTGGCAAAAAGGTTGGGAACTACTGCAGTAGAGCAAAGAATACAGCAGGTGTCTCAGCTCCTGGTGTGTTTTAGACATAACCTTGTCACTTTCATATGTAAAAGAATGAGGACTGTAATCGGACTGGGATATATTCCACAGATTGGTGATGTCTCTCCCACGACTACATCTAGTCACAAAACCAAGCCCTGAAGAAGCTGTCCGGTTGGTAGTAAAACGTCTGCTTCTAAAGTGCAAGTGTTAAAAGTCATTTGGATGCCTCAAAATCTTCACAATGCGACATTCTTCTAAACCTGAGAGAGGAAATGGGATCTCCATCGACAGAGCTCCAGTCGGCCTGAAAGAGCTAACCCTGAGATAAACCTGAGATCTCTTTTCTGACTGTTCCTGCGGCCTTATCTCCCCTTCCTCACCCACAGGGCACACCTTTACATTCTACAGTATTAGTTGTCAATGGAACAGGTTTAGGTGCACGGACCAGCACCCGGAACAAACATAATGAAAAACAGCCACATTCCTACGTGTAATGTTTGCGCACTTTTTCTTGGTTTTGGGTCTAGTGTTTTCATCAAGTATATTTGGGTTTTCTATAGTTTCTGTAGGCCTTTTGTACAGCTATATTTTTGGTAATGGTTTTGTAACCCAAAAAATATAGTATAAACAGATTTTGTATATTTTGCAGCTGTCCTTGTTCGCTCTCCTCTCTCTACTCTCAGCCTCTTGCTCCACCTGATTTGGGTGAGCGGGACTATGAGTATGCTGTGCGTGCTCCCTCCTGGTCCAGCTTGCGGCCTCTCAGACGCTGCACGGTTTGGTTTAGTTTAGCGCTTTGTTTGCTTTTTTTCCTGGCCTTATTTTTTGTTTGATCTGGTAAGTCTGGTGTTATGGCAAGTCTGGTGGTTACATTTTCGGCTGTGAATGTGTAAGCTAGTTGGGTTTCGTTTTATGCGGATGCCCTTGTATGGGGTTGATTTGGTGTGGACCCTTTATGTTGTTTTGGGCTGGCTCACTTTACTTCAGGTTTGTCATGTTCTGGACACGGGTTGGGTTTTTGGTTCACTTTGGGCCACAACGGTTAAAGAAATTTGGGCTTGATTTTTTTCATCATATGCAACAAGAGAGGTTCCTATTTGCAAAGAAAACAATGTCAGCTGAATTGTGTGACCATTTGCTATAATTGTGGTCATCAATATTGCAATTTCAATGTTTGTTTGTACTGAATCTTGCAGCACAGAAGCATAGAACTGCCAGTGTGGTTTATTTTTAAGCTTATAGTTGTCCCAAAAAGATTGCTTACGATACATGGCGTATTAATTTCTTATCTTATCATTTTGACGTCTTTTGGAGGAAGGATACTACAGAACTTATCCTAAACTTGGAGAAATGTCTAACAAATACATGCTATACATGTGCAAATACAACTAAATATCACGGTTGCTTGGTAAAATCCCTATATTTATGTCATTAACAACCAGGAAGTACATATGCATATTCAAAACACTGCAGCTCGAGTCCTGACTAGAACCAGGAAGTACCATCTCATTAGTCCAGTTCTCAGATCCCAGCAGGAAGACCCAAGAACAGGCAGCTTTTGATTGATCTGAATGAACTAAAAAACAGAATTGAGTAATACAATTTTGTAAACAACAGTAAAATAGTGTTATCCATCAGTTTTTAGTAAGTAAGTGGGTTCTTTATACAGACCAGATTCACAAAGCACTTTACAATTGTTATGAGGATTTGTATCTCACTCCACACATGGGAGTGTGTGCTGTACAGTAGAAGAACATGCAAACAGAAAAGCCCTGTCAGGAAGTGCAATCGAACCCTGTGGTGCGCAAGTGCTAACAACTGCGCCATGATAACACAAGTGTAAAGTTTTATGCTTGTTATTAAAAGGTAAAGGTATGACACATGTCTCCTGCCTCCGACCCTAGTTTTGTGGGTAAAGCTGGGGTACCTAACTTTCACACCACCACAAACGGAACTGAAAAAAAATCAATGTCACTAGTTCCTGACTCTAGAACTCACACATTTTTGGATCATCTTTTTCAGACAGAAAAGTCAAACAGATAAGATGCATGGATGATATGATGGATGATATGATTTGTTCTAATAACAGATTACAGATGTAATACTCATATAGTTGGCCAATTATTCTTCGATTAGTTGTTTAGATCCCGAAAGATCAGTGAATATAGGATTTGTTTTACATTAGACCAAAACAAAGCTAAAGTGATGCCTCAAGAGAACATTTTGAATTGTTACACTGTGGATTGTTTGATTAAAAATACTTTATTAACGCGTCATTCTTCAGGCGTTATAGTATTATCTGAGTAACTCTTGCATGTTTACATATTTATGAAAGGCTGAAATAAACTACTAAATCAATGGAAAACTATTTCAATAATCGGTTAGTTGTGATTATTCGATGACCTTGTTACAGCCCTATTCTAAAATATTATTTATTTATTAAGCAAAAAAGTAGGGTACCCCAGCTTTAAGATAACGAGAAGTGTTTTTGTTTTCAACCCACTTCTTAGAGTTGTGTCGCTGTGAGAGCGGAGAGACGCGCCTTCCTCCTGCTGTTTCTGCTGCTGTTTCTGCTGCTGTTTCTGCTGCTGAACCTGCAGCAGGCGAGGTCACTGCAATCCTCCAGTCGACAGCAGGAGTCTGAAGAACTGGTTTAACATGGCACTGATTTACACTGAACACATATGACAGGCTGGCGGAGCACGGCTAACCATGAAACACCTGTTCAGGAACCTAGAAGCACAGCTAACCGCATCACACCTGTTCAGGAACCTAGAAGCACGGCTAACCACATCTCACCTGTTCAGGAACCTAAAAGCATGGCTAAACATGGTACACCTGTGTTCAGGACTAACCACATCACTATTGTATAAATGAACTAAGAAGCACAGAAAACCATTTCACATTTATATCCATTAATTTAGAAGCATAGCTAATTCATCACACCTATATTCATAAACTTAGAAGCACAGCTGACCTCTTCACACCTATATTCATAAACTTAGAAGCACAGCTGACCTCTTCACACCTGTATTTTTGAACTTAGAAGCACAGCTAATTCATCAGAACTATATTCATAAACTTAGAAGCACAGATAACCTCTTCACACCTGTATTCATAAACTTAGAAGCACAGCTGACAACATAAAACGTATATTTGTGAACTTAAACGCATGGCTAACCACTTCAAACTTGTAAAAAGTGCATGTCAGGTTGAACTCTGTGGTTATGTTGCTTGGTTTATTATCAAATAAAAAAAACCGTGGAGTAGGACTAGAAAGCACACTTTTACAAATGAGAATAACTAAACAGATACTCTAGTAAAGTAGCATGTATACAAATGTATATATTGTATTCGAGTAGTTACCTGCACTCACCTGTGTTTGTGTGTGTGTGTAGACGAGATGTTCTGTGTGCCAAAAGTGACAAGCAAAATCCTAAGCGCGTCTTTCCTCAGTAAACAACATCCACATCCATGTCACGCACGGGCCTTGTTCACGCGCAGCTCCAGGTGCATGGTGACGTGACGGGGACTGAGAGCCTGTGCCGTCGCTGTGAGACGCTTTGGGAGCTTGGATCAGCGCGGTCCCTGCAGAGCGCCTAGGTAGACGGGTGCGCGCACTTATACTGGATCTGCAGGTTCCTCCTTCGAAACTGCACACTCCCGGGTCACGTGGGAGGCTCAGGTGAATATGGGCGGGGCGTGTGCGGTAACCATGGCAGCCCGGGAGCGCGCACCTGTCTCCCGTCAGGTCGCAGCTGAGCGCGTTTTGTTTCATACATGAGAACAGGGCGCGTTTTTCATTACGTCAAAGCGTTGTGTTGCACCTGTTCAGGATCCTAGAAGCACTGCTAACCCTGTCACACATGAGTTCAGCAACCTAGAAGCATGGCTAACCACTTCAAACTTGTATTCAGGACTAACCACTTCACTCTTGTATAAACTAATAAACATATATCCATGGACTTAGAAGCACAGCTAACCAGTTAAAATATATACATGAAATTAGAAGCACAGCTCACCACTCAAATTTGATTTTCATTAACCTAGAAGCACAGCTAACCACTTCAAACTTGTATATGGTGTATGTCAGATTGTACAAATAACTAACTAGAGTCTGTATGCGGACTGTTTGGAGATATTTTGGCCTTAAAATTACTTCATATTTCATCATTGGCCCTATGCATTTTAGCTGTTCCCTAAAAGCTAATATTCCACTTGTAGATCTTTCATTTTGTAAGGGCTAATTTTGAGTTATTTAAAGCTGGGGTACCTAACTTTTGTGTGAGATACTTGTTGTTTGTTCCAGAAATAATTTTGTTATAATAGATTGTCGGGAACAAATCAAGCTACAACATGCTGTCTTCCTCTTGTTTGAAAATGTCTTTTCTTTTGCATATGAGGCACTTTTTGACTCTTTTTGGGCTGAGAGCTTATTGGCAGAGTGAGGGTGGTCCTCTCTTTTTCTCTTTTCTGTCTGAATAAGCTGATCTACAGACATAACAGAGGCAAAAATACATGCATGAGAAAACTAATGATAGGAGCATAAGTAGAGATTGAGTTTATTATCTGGTCAACTTTTTGTGGATATGAAATTAGGTCGCCCAGCTTTAAGAGATACATTACCGATACAGAATTCAACAGTGTATTGCCGATCGTCATCAGCTCTGGAGAATCTGAGAAATGTTATGTAGATTTTGTATTTCTTTTTATGCATGACTTATTCTATTTGAGCTTTTAAAACTTGTTTGCACTGAGAGCCAAAGCAATTTCCTAGTTTGTGACATGCTGTTGCTCACAATGGCAATACAAATTATATTTGTCGCATCGCTACACAGACCGCAGAGGTATAGTTAGTTGTGGGTGTGTATGTTTTTTTTTCTTAATGATTTCTTAATGATTAAAACAAGTGTAGTTTGTTAGCCTGGTCATACCTCACCACAGTACAAATGACATTTCGTACTAAGGTCTGGAGGTGCTCCATTGAGCTCCGTTTACAGGTGGGAGGGGTTAACTCCTTTTGCATATTGAAACGATTGGATCTGAGTTTACCGTGACGTATGCAGTGCGCCCGAGTCTGTCGTTAGCATTTAGCATTTAGCCTAGCCATCTCCTTTGCTGCTAACGGAGCCCGTGGGGAGTAGCGCCACAATTTTTTCCAGCGATTACATTTGCTAAACATTACCCTTGCTCCGGCTTCAATTTCTCGCCATTACCAAACTACGACCTGCCCGTTCGGCGCAAACTCTTGACATCACCCACAACTAACTACAACACCTGCCTTCCGCGCTCTCTGAATGGTCGGTCGAAATTCAACCAATTGTAATCGCTAACACAGGGACTAGATCCAGACGTTACATGCAGTGAAAAGATGATTGAACGGAGTGTACGGATGGATAAGGCCAGGCTTGTAGTTTGTGAGCCAACGTCTAGAAGCCCATGCACCGGAACAGTAGGGGGCGGTAATGCTCCTTCTAAGCAGGTTGCCAACCGCCGTAAAACTACAAGAGGAAGAATTTAAGTCCCCAGAGATAAAAGAACTTGAAAAAAGCAGAGGCTTTTGTATACATGTCTGTTCTGGGGCAAAAGTTTACTGGTTTGTTCAGAATCAGAATGATTTGTATCACATTGTGAGTAACAGGAAGTCACAAACTAGGAAATTGCTTTGTCTCAAGGTGCAAACAAGTTTTAAAAGTAATAATAGAACGCGGCCTGCATAAAGAAATACAAATAACCAAACTACACAACGCTTTGTTTAAAAATTGCTATTACACACAAGTGCACTAAATACACACAAAGACACAATAGACTTGGTTAGAAAAATATATATGATTTTGTTGATTAAGTGTCTATATTCAGTCATTACTCAATGGTTTACTAAAAATGCATGTGATGGAAAATATTTATATGCGATTAAAATGCAAATAGTTTTGAAGAATTAATTACAAACACTCATTCACTCTCCAGTCTCTCAAAAAGCCAACTTCCAAACACCAGCTTTAGCAGAGTTTATATTTACCACACAACATGTTCCCAATTGTTAAACGAGAGTACAGGGCCTCAGCGTCACCGACCTGTTTTTGTCTTCTTTTAATTCTGATGGGATTAGTTCAACCTTTCTATTTTGGTCCTTTCAAGTTCAAGTCTGTATTTATATTATTTGCTGCTGGTTACTTGGCCCAACCCAACACGTCAGAGCTTGTCTAAACCATTAACATTACGCAGAATTGAAAAACGCCCAAAACAGTTCTGCTGCGTGAGGCGAAAGAATGGAATGAGAGTGTGTGCGACCATTATTGGGCTTTTGTGCTTAGTGACAAACAACTGGGACAGAACAGGTTTGGACGTTACTGCTGTGCGAAAATCTATCATTAAACGCACAACAGGAAGGAAACCGGTCGCGTCTGCAAAGGCCGGAATTATAATAACAGCAAAAAGTGTTATTGTTGAGTCGTAAGTCCACTGTGAGGATGAATACATTCAGAAATCTGTCTCACTGATGCAGAAGAACATGGACCAGTGAACTCTCTCCAGTACATCTGTGACATTTGTGTGTCATGTTAACCCTTTAATGGTTTCCTCAACCATTTGGTGGATCACTTGTGGAGTCACTATATCTACCTCTTTTGAGCATCTCTATCACATACCAACGTTTACAATCAAATTACATCTCAACCATTTGGTACAGGCCTATGATAAAAAATACATGGGGTTGAAAAAAATAAGTAAACCAATTAACTTATTAGTGCTCCTACATCTCAGAAAATCCAAATATATAGTACATTGCTTTCTTCAAGGAGCGAACATAAAGGGTTTTAAACAACCCTAACCAACAGGACTGGTCTCCTGCTGGGACTCTGAGGAGCACAGGGACGGGCCTCCTGCTGGGACTCTGAGGAGCACAGGGACGGGCATCCTGCTGGGACTCTGAGGAGCACAGGGACGGGCCTCCTGCTGGGACTCTGAGGAGCACAGGGACGGGCCTCCTGCTGGGACTCTGCGGAGCACAGGGACGGGCATCCTGCTGGGACTCTGAGGAGCACAGGGACGGGCCTCCTGCTGGGACTCTGAGGAGCACAGGGACGGGCCTCCTGCTGGGACTCTGAGGAGCATAGGGACGGGCCTCCTGCTGGGACTCTGAGGAGCACAGGGACGGGCATCCTGCTGGGACTCTGAGGAGCACAGGGACGGGCCTCCTGCTGGGACTCTGAGGAGCACAGGGACGGGCATCCTGCTGGGACTCTGAGGAGCACAGGGACGGGCCTCCTGCTGGGACTCTGAGGAGCACAGGGACGGGCCTCCTGCTGGGACTCTGAGGAGCATAGGGACGGGCCTCCTGCTGGGACTCTGAGGAGCACAGGGACGGGCATCCTGCTGGGACTCTGAGGAGCACAGGGACGGGCCTCCTGCTGGGACTCTGAGGAGCACAGGGACGGGCCTCCTGCTGGGACTCTGAGGAGCACAGGGACGGGCATCCTGCTGGGACTCTGAGGAGCACAGGGACGGGCATCCTGCTGGGACTCTGAGGAGCACAGGGACGGGCCTCCTGCTGGGACTCTGAGGAGCACAGGGACGGGCCTCCTGCTGGGACTCTGAGGAGCACAGGGACGGGCCTCCTGCTGGGACTCTGAGGAGCACAGGGACGGGCACGACGGCGGGACCTCTGAACCTGGCCCCCTCCATCTACACCTGCCCGACCATCCTGGGAGTGCTTCAGTCCCGCACCGGACCTGTCTGCCGCCGCTGCGTGGCCTTCGTCCTCGTTCTGTAGCTTAGGTCCTGGATCTATAGCCCGTCCGTCCGTGAGGAGCGGATCCCTCTCTCAATGTGGATCTCCCCGAGGTTTCTCACTTTTTTCCTACTGGGTTTTTGTTGAGTTTTTCCTTGCCAATGCAGGAGGGTCTGTTGGACAGTTAGTGTCCACTAGAAGGACTGTGGTGATGATCCAGGACACTTTAACATTCTACAACATGTATGGACATTCATCAACGTTCATGGACATTGGTCTCTCCCTATGCACCAATACACATGTGTATTTTCTGTGTCTTAACTGTTTATTTTCTGATCTGTGTTGGTGATTTCAATGGTTTTGTTAAGTCCTCTGAGATGACTTCTGTTGTGATTTAGGGCTATACAAGAATAAATTGTATTGTAATGTACTGTATTGTATAATCGTGGGCTGTATGTCCAGGCTTTGTGGCTCCTGCAGTGGCTTTAGGGCCCACCAGGGGTCTCAAACATAAGTGATGTTCTGCTTCAGGATAGGATCTTGCTTTCTTATCTTTTTTGTTAAATAGATTGGAAACAGTGGAATATCCAGATTACTTCAGAGGCTCACTACTATTCTGTTACTTCCATAAGACTTCAAACAAGAATACAGGTCACTGTTGAGTGCAGCTGATTGGAGCTCGAGTTTGGACCAAAAAACCTTTCAGCTGTTCGCGTCATATCTGATGATCCTTTATGTGACTCATCTTCAACATTTACATTTCATCTTTTAAAATGTAAAAACAATTTGTGTTGAATAATAATAATAGTGCATTGGTTTTATATAGCGCTTATTTGGACACTCAAAGATGCTTCCCGTGTCGTTATTCTTTCACTCCGTACACGCTGATGATACTCTGTTCTACTGTGGCCACAGCTGACCTGGGACAGACTGACAAAAATGAGGCAACCATTCACACACACAACAGATTAATTTTAGGCAATGTGGGTGTAGTGTCTCATTTATGGACACAGTGACGGTTTGTTACTTTTCAGCCACCTCACTTTGGC